TGCCTTTTCACAAGGGCCCTGAAAATCCCATTTCAAAGGCAACCACCTGCTATTTTTTCCAAGGGATCCAGGACACAAGGTGAAAACAAGAGTGAAAGCAGGCTTTTTGAACTTAAAAAAATTACTTTTATTTTAGGAACCAATAAAATTATGGTAAATATTTACAAATAATTATCTCACATAAAGGTTACATAAAACCAAATGTCCACAAGTAACAGTCACTCTCATGAAAAGACACACAGATATTGAACTACGCCAATCTTATTGCATGTTTCTTCAACTAATCTAAAAATAAAAAGTGTTGCAGTCAACCATTTAACTTAGAATAAAATCACAAATTTCAGTATTGACAAGAAAAAGAATTGAAAAAACCAAATAAATGAAAAAACCCCTTCAAACAGCCCCTCCCTTTTGACCCATACCTTAGCACTCCCGCTCCCCAGCCCACCTCCCCTTTTGCTCCCCAAAACAAACCCCAAAACAAAACCCCCAAAATAACGTTCGACATCTTTGGCAAATTGGCACTGCTGTAATTACATTCAAATATTATAACACACAAAAGCAACACACAGCACTAAGGAAAAAACACCAAGATTTCAAGTCTGTTCTTTTCCTACTAGAAAAAAAGAATACAAAACATACACATTTTAAGAAGCATTTTTTCATCTGTTTTGCAACAGATGTTATCCCCTACTTTCAAAGGCAATTCAACAGTTATTTTTACGAGTTTTTTTGTAAGTTATTTTTCTTGTTTGTATGTATTTTTCAAGGGGAGGAAGCTTTTATTTCTCTCCCTCTCTCTTCTTTTTCCTCTCTTTTTTAAGAAGTAAGCTTCAATGCAGGCATTGCAGACTTTGGTGGATACAATAGATATGTATTTCTTTGATGCTAGAAGTCCCTAATACAAAGTAGTTGGTCTCTAAGAAAAAAAAAGCTTGTTCTTTTTTTTTCTTGGAAAGGAATTCCATTTGCAATGAAATGAGTTTCTGTAATTTCAGAATGTACAAAGGCCACTAGAAAGTGAAAAACCAGGACAAGGTTTCTTCCCACCCAAGGCTGAGTGAAGCGAAAGGCAGGTCTAAATGCCCACTGGCCATTTTCCTGCCTCGCTTCAAGAGGGCAGAGCAAAAGACCCTGGACACAGGGGTCAGGTCTGGTGGTGGCCAGGGCTATCGCAGGACTCGGGTCCACCCCTCCGCGACCCCCCCAGCGTCTGGGAGACTCAAGCATGCTTGCACATACACACGTGTGTGCACGTCAGTCTCTACACGCCTGCCCGCCCGCACTGCAGTGCTGCAACAGTGTCCTGCAAAGCCCCTTCAGTCTGGCTCCCGCCCTGGAGCTCCTCCACTGCGTGAGCCCTCTCGCAGGAGCAGCAAGCGGAGGTCACAGCTGGAGCTGACACCTACGCCAGCCGCGACGCCAAAGCGAGCAATCCTGGCACCAGGCACCTTTTTGACATGCTTTTGACTTGGTGTTTGCACATCAAGTCTCATTAGCTCCACCAGAAAAGTGACACTAACTGGTTTTGATCCTTTCGGATCTTTTTGTTTCTCATGCTGCCGTAACGCGTACCTGTGACAGGAGTGGGTTTCGGTCTGAGGGACACAACAGGGCTCTCTGGCTGGCATCCCCAGCCTTCCGCCACCACTGAGCACTCTGCCTCCGGCGTGGAGCGGTGGCAGATGTGGCTCAGGACATGTGCCCAGTGCCCGTGTCGGTGCAAGCCGCCCAACCTGACTCTGCCTGCTCGCCTATGTGCAGGACCATCGCCTGCATGCTCGGCAAGAGGCTGCAGGGCACGTTACCCAAGAGCTGTTGTCCCTCTAACATAATTTTCTCAGTGAATCCAGAAGAAAAAGCAGGTTTTCCCAGCGTTTGCTGGGACAGAGTCACAGGGTGGGTCAGCTTAATGCCGTGCTACCTGTTGTGGCCGTGGCGTCATGTGTCCTGGTGGCATGGGTGTGGGCACACACATGCAGGAAAGAGCACAGCACCAGGGAGGACACTCGGTCGTAGCCATGTAGCTACCAGCTGCAGCCACACAAGTTAATTCTGCTACGGGCCACGGCTCTTTGAAGCTGTGAGTACTCATGGTTGGAAATAAGCGACACCGTAACATGGCTTCCTCTCTCCTCCATGCTGAAGGACATGCAGAATAGGTAAATTAAAGAAAATAAGAAAAGGAATACAACCCCATCAGTTAAGACCGAGCACAGCAGAGCATTTATCAACAGCCAGCGGCTGCCAGCACCCGGCACAGTGAGGCCACCACGCTGCCCTCTCACTGCAGCACTGAAAGGTCTCGGCCACAGGGAGCCGAGAGGGGGGTGACGAGTGTCCCAGCACTCACTGTTGTGAGCACCACTGACCACCCCTCCCCGATCAGACATACTTTTTTCTGAAAACCACCTCTCAGCCTGTTTCTTTTTCTTCTTTTTCCTTTTTTCTTCTCCTGGCGCTGTTTCTCCCCTCGCTGTCTCCTTTCCAAGTGCCTCAAGTACCGAGGCTGCCCCGCTGCCTGCGGTCCCAGCATGGATCAGAACACTGCTCAGATGTCTCTGCATCTCTGAATCAACCCACACTCTCTGGCCCTGTGCTCCCAGAGCCTGGAGCGGTTTTCTGATTTGACAGCGAACAAACAAAGCTTCTGGTCTGTGGATCTGGTCCTGAGACATCCTGACCTCTGCAAGTCAGTGGAGCTGCCTAATGGTAACGCCTCCATAATTGAACCTTCGGACACAGATGCTAAGCAAACTCAATGCCCACAGCGTTTTACATCTTCTTTATGGTCACACTCTCACAGCGTTTGACTGAGGGTTTCCTCAACAAGTCAATTCATGTAATCCTGGCTCATGGCCTCCGTTGATTTAGTCTTATGGCAGCGTTTTGCCTCTCCATCTCTCAGATTTCATTTCTTAGCCTGTACTTGATGAATGTATTGCTGGAGCACATACTACTGGAAAACCCTCCATCTAGCCAAGCGTATTATAGTGTTCAGTGCTGAAACTACCTAAAGGCACTTTATGGGGCTGATTTCTGCAAGGGTCTAGTAATGATACACCATGTTAGGGGCATCCTGCCTGAGCAAAAGGTAGGCAGGGCACCCCAAACCCGTGTGCTGGTCTTGCTCTCTCCCCTCCTTGCAGCCCCAAGGGATCATTTGCTTCCAGCTTCCACCTCATCCAGCAACTCCCTGTGAAATGGGCCAGGGCAGTGGTCCTCCATCCCTGCCATAGAGGGGCCGCAGAGGAGGGGGCAGCAGCAGATGGCTCTCTGTCATCCCCAGAGGACAACCTTCTGCCAGCAGCGCCTTTCAAAGGTGCTCCCTGAGGAGGAGAATTCCCCCAATGAAGACTATGGACAGAAAGTCCAGGCCTCCTGAGGAAAGCAGTTTGTAAACCCCAGGCAAAATGTTCTCAAAACCAGAAAGCACTGTCAAGAAGTGTCTTTTCCAGAAGTATGGCATGCATACTCAATGGGCCAACCCTTACTAGCCTTTCTTGCAGGGAAGCAGCCCCAGCAGATATAAGCGAGCCTGGCTGCCATGTTTTGGTTGCAGGTGCACGAGGGAGTTTGGGGTTTCCCCTCCATGGCTCTGGCCAGGACCTGTATGCTGCCCGCGCACCCGCACCATCCCTGTCTGCACCACTGGCTGGCGGGATGGAGCCCACCAGCATGCCCAGCAAGTGGCTCTGGCCGAGGGCCACCCTCAGGGAGTCCTGATGAAAACCATAGGGTCAGACAGGTCTGAGCACCTTGGGTCACTTCATCCAGTGGCATCCATGCATCCTTCAGGAGAAATATCCCCACCTTGCTTTTCCTAAGTCCTGCAAGCGCCACCAGCCTCAGCATGCTAACATCTGCTGAAGTCTCATGTTTGGTCTTCTCAATGTTATCTGAATTAGCATACATTGCACAAGCCATGCCACTGAGGAAACAAATTGAAGAAACGTGTTTGCAGGGCAGTATGCAGAGCGGGTGAAGGACCCACATGCCATTGACAGGAGCTGCTGTTCCCTCACTGGACAGACAGACTGAGTCATTTTAGCCCAGCCTCGTCACCAAGCAGGTGGTGTCTCCATAGCTGGTGTAGCTCAGCCCACCTCTACTCCAGAGCCATCACCCGCACCCTCACTGCCTGCTGTCAAACCCTCATTTCTTTTCTCTTCAGCCAAGATGCCAGACAGCCTCATCCCTTCCCGAGCTCACAGAGAAGGTGGGTGTACTCAGGGCGCAGGCAACATGCACGCCTTGGCCCAGGGTAGGCACGAAGAGCGTGCAGGGACAGAAATGCCCTTTGCAGCTTTGCCACCAGCGTGCAAGCAATCACAGAGTGCTCAGAAAAGGATGACACCAAAGTAATGCTTCAGAAGGTTCCCTGTGTAAATTGTCCATGCTGTTATTTGTCTTCAGTTAAAAATGGGTGTGTATCAGCTATTAATTGCTGAGAGACGAAAGGCAGGACTTATCCCGTTGGTAAATTTGTCACAAAACTTACTTCTGGGTTAGGGACGCAGTTTGAAGGACTTCGGCCAAGATCTCTGACGGGCTCTGTGACCATCTCACTGAAACGTCATTAAGCCAGTGGGACCTGGGTGCCTTCATGGCTTTTGAGGATCTGAACACATCTGTGCCGGAAACCTGGAAGTGATGGCTGTGTTGCCATAGTGTGAGAAGATGTCACTGGAGTTGGAGAGGGAGCTTCTCAATGGGTCAGTGGCCGCTAAGGACACTGGACATGCAGCACAAGTGATGAGTGGAGAGGGAGGAGGAGAAGGAGGAGTGTTAACTCAGGAGCTGCCATTTCAGAGAAATGCTTGTACAGCTGGAAGCAAATATTTGTACCTGATTGTTCATCCACAGGAATGCATCTCAGGTTCAACACCAACAACCCTTCTTCAGCCTTGGGACACACAGAGGCAAGCACCAACAGGACCCCTCTGCAGTGCCTGTGCTGCTCTGGGTGGATGAGGATGGTTGGGTCAGGAGTAAGGAGACTACAGCCAGATCTTCGTCTCACCAGGATCAGGGAGCTTCTCCACTGCCCTCAGGAAGAGGGGAGGGGGCTGTGCCTGTCATCAATGCATTACTGAGGTTGGCTGCCCCTCAGCCTGGGGCAGGGGGAGGCTGCAGGCAAAAATCGGCAGTTCTCCTGGCTTCCATGAAGTGGCAGAGGCTGGGGGAGCTGCTTAGTGGGTCGTTTGTAGCCGCTCTCCTCTCTTCATTAGCCCCAGGAAGCCACACATCGAAGGACATGTCACTATTAGTGCTCCCTCTCCGAGCGGGAGGGAAGAAATATGGAATTAACGGGGCAAAATCTGCCCTGGCACGTGTCTGGACTACAGCGTCTTGGATTTGAAGTGCCTTCACTGAAATGCACAGATCCCCAAAACGAGCACCTTCCCCTCCTGTTTGCCTCAGAAAGCATGTGTGGCCACATGGCCACCGCTGTGCTCGGTACGCCCTGCTCAATACGTCCGTTTAACAAAAATGATTACCGTGGTATTTCTCCCCTTCTTCTCAGGGTGTTCATAATTGGGTTTTAAAACACAACCTATTGAGATGTACATAAGGTGTCAACTATTATTTAGGAATTCCTTCTTGGATGCTGCGTAACTTGAAACCAGAGAATTTGTTTCAGTGCTCATTATGGTGACAAATGAACATAAATTAATATTAAGCAGTAAAATGTCACAAAACTGCCCATGTCTTCAGTTGCCCATGTGTTTGATACCAGCATATAGCATGATCACACATGACTGTCAGATAGGATGCTCTATACAGAAAAAACATCAGCCCGAAATATAGCCACAATGAGTGTTAACCTGGTTCAAAGTTGCTTAAAGCTTACCGAATTCTTTGAATCAGTGCACCAGTTTCAAAGCACATTTTGAGATGCGTTTTGAGTTCATATTTGTACAATGTTGCTGCTTATGCTTAAGCCACTCTTATAGTAATACAAACAAGCAAGTATTTACAGTGGTGCTTGTGTAAAATTGAGCAGACTGATTTTTTTCTTTGCCACAAAC